CCCCAGTGCAGCTGGAGAACCACCAGCTGGTCCCGCCCGGAGGCAGTGGCGGGGGCAGCAGTGGCCCCGCGTCAGCCCCGGCTCCTCCTCCTCCCGGAGCCGCTGTGGCGGCGGCCGCTGCAGCTGCTGCTAGCCCGGGCTACCGGCTGAGCACCCTCATCGAATTTCTGCTGCACCGGGCCTACTCGGAGCTCATGGTGTTGACGGACTTGTAAGTGCCGCGAAACCCATGCCTGCTCCTCAGCCCCCCTTCCCGCCCAACCGGCTGAGAGAGGTTTGCGCCTTCTCCCCAGGAGGCTGCTGTTTTCTCCGCTGGGCTGGTTAGTCTATAATTTACAAACTCGTGGGGTTCAGTGGAGGTGGAGGAGCAGCTTTGTACTGGGAGACTTTCTGGCGATGAAGCAACCGAGACTTGTTAGTTTTGTGTGTTGTTAGACTTTCGTGGAAGGTTGTCTTTGGGATTTTTGTCCGAGTTCCCAAACAAACTATTGATTTCTTGGCCTAAAGCTTTTTAGCCCAAAGCCCAAGGTTAGAGTTCAGGGTTTAGGAGTACATAACATTCGAACTTAAAAAAAAATCCCGAAAACGGAAAATGTTGTACAGCCTCTTGACAATATATTTTAGATTTAGGTTGTAATTGCTCCTAAGTTTGAATTCAGGAGATCCATTGCGTATAAAATAATCCGAAGTCTGGATTCCAAGTGTTTTTTTCGGGAACGTTTGAGTGTTTTGATGCCTTCACGAATTTAGTGTAAGTAAAATATTTTTTGTAACCAGCCTGCTGTTGTTTCTTGGAGTATGAAGGGAGTTTATAAGTCACGTAGTTACCCATGAAATGCCTTAGGGCACGATTAGTTAAATCCCTTCAGGATAGGAGCACAATACACTGTAGTGATTTTCAGTGTGCGAAAAAAACGTACTGTAAAATTTGGGGGCTCTGTTTTACATCTTATAACCCAGGTTCAGAAAAAGTAAGAATTAGTTTTTATCTAGATTAGTTTTTATTTTTTATCTATTGCAAGACTTCAGGGTTTTCAATTGAAATACCTTAGTATGCAGATATTAGGCTGTGAAATGTCACAGAAATTTGTTACTGGAGGCTGTTAAAATATTTGTAGATGGCTAAAAGAATTACGGTAAGTTCCACTTACTCCTGTAAAACATCATTCTCACTCAGTTTTCATGTACTGTACTGAATGGGACAGAAAGAGAGAGTTAACGAAGCCTATTCCTGTCTAATAAATTTAAATAGCTGTCATGATTAGGGATTATTCTCTGCACCATTTATTGTTGGATTTCATAAAAGTCGAAGAGTATCCATGAGAAAGTGTCATGTATGTCAAGGTTACCTGTCCTATGTATAGCCGTGGAAAATATTGAGAACTGCTGCTATTAGTGGTTGTGTAATTTGATTTTCCATAGGGGATTTGTAGAAATTCCTTGAATTATGTTGTGTTCTTTTTGCTATTTTAGGACTTGGTTTATAAACCGAGACTTGGTTTATTGCTGTAGAATAAGTTTGTAGTTACAGTTTTGTGCCCTTTATGTGATCATGATTCCCATGTTTATATCTCCAGTGTAGACCTCTCTGCTGAACTCCAGACTCTTTATCCCGATGGCTGCATTTAAATATCTAATGGGCATTTCAACATACCGAGTTCAGAACCAAACTCCTAATTCCACTCAGTACCTTCCCTGCCTCTCCACCCGCCAAACCTCCTTTTTTTTTTTTTAAAAGATGACCGGTAAGGGGATCTTAACCCTTGGCTTGGTGTTGTCAGCACCATGCTCAGCCAGTGAGCGAACTGGCCATCCCTATATGGGATCCAACCCGAGGCCTTGGTGTTATCAGCACCACACTCTCCTGAGTGAGCCACGGGCCGGCCCCCCAAACCTCCTTTTTTAATCTCATTAAGTAATGTCTCCATTTTTCCTTTTGTTGCTCAGGCCAAAAATTTTGGAGAAATAGTTGGCTCCTCTTTCTTCACATCCCATTCCCAGTACATCAGCAAGTCCTGTCATCTTTGACTTCAGAATCTGATCACCTTTCAACACTTCAACCAAGTGTTGGTCCAAGCCTACTAATCATTTGCCCACGTTACTGCTATAGTCTGCCCACTGGCATCTCTACTGCTACGTTTGCCCCTCTATGGTTTCTTTTCCGTAAAATAGCCAGGATAATCCTTTTAAAACTTCTTTGCTCTGAGCCTTCCAATGTTTCCCATCTCACTTAGATTAAGAAGTTTTTATCATCACCTATACATAGGGTGACCATAAAATTTACGGTTCAAACCAGGACCCTTCTGAACATGAAAGGTGGTGCTATTAATAATAACGTCCGACATAAACCAGTATTGTCTTGGGCAAACCAGGACATGTGATCATCTTACCTTTAAGGCCCTAAATGATCTGTGCCTTTTCACCCTTACCTCTTTAACTTCATATCCTGATACTCTTCTCCTTGCTTATTGTGTTCCAGCCACACTACCCTTCTTGATGTTTCTTAATAGTGCCCAGCACGCTCCCACCTTTGCTCTTCCCCCAGAAATCTGTGTGGTTTGCTTTCTCATTTCCTATACGTCTTTATTCACAGAACCTATCAGAAAGTCTCTGACCGCTCATAAAATAATACTCTGCCCTTTCACTCTATCCTTACTTGCTGCTTTATTTTTCTCTACAGCAGTTATTGCTGCCTGACATTATTAGTTTATTGACTGTGTGTTGTCGTTGTGTCGCGCCCCCCCCCCCCCCCAGTAATGTAAGCTCCATTAAGACAGTAATTTTAATTTTGTTTGCTACTTTCCTCAGGGCCTAGAACAATGCCTAGCACATAGCTGGGGCTTAACTAAATATTTATTGATTTAATACATGAATAAATGAATTTTTAGAATAATTATTGTAAACCATGGATAATTTAATAGGAAAAGTCATTTCTACTGTTGATGCATAGGTACATAAAATAACTTTTTTCACTTTTGGTTTGTGGTAACCAAAATTAGTTTATGAACTTGGTGTGGAAGTTCCAAAATAGTGTATTTTTCCTTGTTCCAGGGAGAAACTATCAGGATTAATTAACGTAGGGCCTGTATTCTAGGGACACTTTATAAGAGTGTTTGAGGACACGGTTACTTATTTCTGCAAAATTTGATGCTTCTGTGAACTTTTGGAGGTAAAAAGAACAGCCTTGGCAATTTAGGTAGTTAGGTTTTGGCCACAGATTTCTGGGTTTTTTTCCTTCTGCTCGGTTCACTCCCTCCCCCAACGTATGTGCTCTCATTTTAGAGTTTACTCTCTGCCTTGACTTTTTTGGGACTTAGGAACCTCTCTGTTTTTTTTTTTTTTCTTCCTCAATCTGTTTTAATTAAAATCAGAAAGTGCCAGGATCTCAGTTATGTAAACTTGTCTTATAACACTTTGATATAAATAAGTTTCTGTGCCTTGCTTCTTTCAAACATTTGCATTTTAGGGCTTTTACCCCAAATGGTGGATTTCTTATCCATAAAGGAATTTTAAATGGATTAGGAGGAATTGGGGGAAAAGAGAGGCAGTCAGCAAAACCCGTCCTTTGTTCCTGAAATGACACTACCTCTGACATTAGATGATCCTTTCAGGGTCTCTGAGGCAGGTGCAAGAAGCTGGAACAGCTATTCCTATTCTTTCTACCCCCAAAGCTCTATTCTTGCCCGCCCCACCCACCCAACAAGCACCCATTATTTTCATTCTTTCCCTCCCTTAAGGACATGGGCTGTGGCTTCTCAAGGAGTGTTCTCAGGAGTTTTCCCATGTAGAGGAACTTGGGCCTTAATTTCTGCTTTATTCCTCTGGTCTGCTGGCCTTTCCATCCCTTACCTAGTTCCTTTTATCACTCTGATCATAAATTCAGCTTCCATCCCACTGTCTACTCTAAGAATAGCAGGTAGCTACAAACCAAAGCTCATTTTAATAATTTCCCCTCCATGTACCTTGAACCTCTGGAATTGGTTTTAGTTTTTCTGTTCCTGTGGCACGTGGATGGGAGAAAAGGATCTAAGTAGCTAGCTGAGTGTGTATTTTTCAAGAACTGATTAGATGTGGGGAAGGCATGAGAGTTGTTTAGGCCATTGAATCTCAGACCATGGGATAGAAGTCAACAGAATGTGGTGATTCCGGAGACAGATCAGGACCTTTATAAGCATTAGTGGGTGGGAGAGTATTAAATGGTGTATATATATATATATTTTTTTTTTTTTAAAGATGACTGGTGAGGGGATCTTAACCCTTGACTTGGTGTTGTCAGCACCATGCTCTCCCAAGTGAGCTAACCGGCCATCCCTATATAGGGATCCAAACCTGTGGCCTTGGTGTTATCTGCACCACACTCTCCCAAGTGAGCCGCGGGCTGGCCCTTAAATGGTATAATTTATCAAGGAAGACATTGACATTGGTTGCTGGCTATTAATATTGGAGAACTAGCAAAAAGAAATCAAAACCCTACTGGAACTGTTTAAAAGTAATATAGATTTTTTCATCTGGCCACCATGCAGCATTATAATTACTATAAGATCCTTGACTGATACAGGCCCTTTTGTGTGCTTAGCTTCCAGTTTTGCCCACCATAAGAAAACATGGAGGAATTACTGCTTGGAAGCAAGCTATCCATTGCATATGGGGCAGCTGGCAACCAAGTTATACTCCTGTCTCTGTGACCATTTTGCTCTTAAAAGAATGTTTTTTGTCTCTATGATACAGTGTGCTGTGAGACACGGGCTTTTTAAATGTTTCAGGTTCACGAAATACCTTTTGAAGCATTTTGAATGGAGAGAAATGTTTCTTTGTTGGTTTTTCCCTTACAGCCATATTGCTGGGAACTCATAAAAGAGAGTAGTTGGTAGCCACACAAGCCTGTAGTAGCTGTTTACTCACTTTTTCTGAATCACTAAGGTAGTTAATAGTCAAAGACTGTTATCACATTTTGATGACGGTATGCATATATGTAATTATTTTCCTTTTTTCTTCTTCTTAGACTGCCAAGGAAATCTGACGTGGAAAGGTGAGTATGAAAAACCTTAAATCTGTTTCTTTATTGGTTGATCTATGAGTGTGGGTGTGTGGGTATGGGTGGCATATGGCTGTGGACTGGAAACCTAGGCCCGAAGAACTTAGGGTGTTTTTTCATACCATGTGTTTAGGGAGCCCCAGGAAATGTAATTTCCTCATCCTTGACAATTCTTTGTGTGAGACCAGTTCTAAACCTTCTATTCTGCAAACCTTATTGGGTGACTGACCATGTCAAGTCCCTGAGGGGGATAGAAAAATGTAGAAGAAATAGTCCATAATGGAAGAAGCTGAGAAGCAGACTGGCTTTGGAAAGTTGGCTGCTAATTTCCCATTTCTATAATGATGCTACTAGATATCTTAAGAGAATTGACATTTGCCTACTGCTGTTGCTGTTCTATAGTTAGAAAATTTTGGTTCAGTTGGAGTTTGAGGCTTAAGATTTAACTAAACACTAGTATATTTCCATAGGCCAAAGGAACAAGATAAATTGAGGTTTCAGAGAAATTGTGATGGAGATTTAAGATGTAACTACAGTATAGATTACATGATTTTATATTTGGCACTACTTATGCTCCCTGAGTTTTTGTTTTGTTTTGTCTTTTTAATTACCAAGTCACTAGGGAGGTTTTTAGCATTTATTAGTAGCTACACTCCACCACCAACCCCAACTGGCCTTTTTGATAAAGTTAGACATGGATCAAAAAGGTAGAGGTAAAAAAAAGACAATTGATGCATACCTGTGTTACGGTTTGGCTGGTCAGTTTTAAAGGAAGGAAACATAAGTCAGGGTTTGTTCTGTCTGCTCTGGGGTAGGAAGGGAAACTGAGCCTTTGAAAAACTGACTCATGCTCCTTGTCACTTGAGACAGCATGGTGTCAGAAATCACGTTACAATAGAGGTACATCTCCTTTCTAGTAGAGGAACATATTTGGGAAACTGAATTAATAATACACAAGTATGTTTGCTCTGGGAGAGGATCAGTGACTTCGCATCCTCTGTAAGCCATTGCTGAGTTATAGTGACAGCTGAGTTATGAGGTGGCTGCCAGATCTTAATGCACCTTTAACATTTCTGTTGTGTCTTAGTCTTGCCCGTGATGCTCTGCTTGTTTTATCTCTTATGATCCTTCACAGACGCTGGCAAAGAGTCATAATTGTTCCCCTGATTTTTCTCAGTGATAAGACCACTAATCATATCTCTGGCTGATCTTTAAGGAAGCCTTTCAGGTTGTGTGTGAGCTACATATGCTGTCAATAGGAGCTAGATCCTGTAGCCTTCAGTCAAAATTGTACTTCAGCAAAAATTTTATTTTTGTGCATTGCATCATGGTGGTGTTATGGGCAAGATGCACAGTTGTGGATTCAATCTGTAGGTGATTGAACAGCTATGCTAAGATTAATAGGTCAGAATCTACTTGGAGGGAAGTTGGTGTCCTACTGGATCCGGTCATTAGTCCTCGCCTGTTGAATATTTTTTTTTTTAGCATCATAAGATGAATCATGAAAGGTCTGATTATCAGTTTTGTAGCTACCATGAACTTGAGAGGTCTAGCCAACACATTGACAACATAAAGCTTTTAGTAAAGCTTTCAAGACTTTATGAGGAAATGATAAAAATAATGATGAGTATTGGGAGAAAAAACATAGTAGAAGGCATAGCATAAAAATAGATATGGATAAACCTAGCTTTTATTTTTAGTACTCAACATACTTTAAGTTTGCTTAAATAATTTAATATATCCATGTTTGTATTGAAATTAGTTTGGTAAAGAGTTACATAGTTAAGTTCTTTAATTATTCAGTATTTTAAATTATGCTCTTACATGATGGGAAATGGGTCCTTACTTTTGTAGAAAGAATACAGTTTCAAGCTTTGAGTAAAGATCTATTTCAGGGTGCTGGTTACACTGATGTGTTCAGTTTGAAAACTTCATTAAGCTATACACTTATGTACACATTTCTTTGTATACATTATAATTCAATAAACAGTTTTTTTGAACCAATCATTAAAAAAATCTATTTCAATTCCCTTTTCTTACCAAAAGGGTTGCTAATTATTTGCTAATCACTCCTAATTTCAGTTATGAAATTCATAATTAATAACTTCTAATTTGGTCCTTTCAGTGGCCCAGTTAACTTTTACGGCCACATATCCATGAATTTAGTTTATTTTAGTAAACAGTTTTTATTACAATATAACATTAATTTTAAAATGTGATTATCACTATACCATTCTATTGGATTTATTACTCTGAGGTGAAAAATAAGGCATATGCAGATGGTATGCAAAATGTGACAGTAGTTCATATTTAGATTAATATTTTAGGTGGGGTTTTTTGTAGTGGTTGTAAACAAAGATTGATTTGTTTAGCTCAAATGAAATAAGTTGTGAAGTACTGTTTGTAATATGTTGGTTCATTAGGAATTGTTTTATTTTATAGGAAAATAGAAATAGTACAGTTTGCTAGCCGGACACGCCAACTCTTCGTTCGATTATTAGCTTTAGTAAAATGGGCTAATAATGCTGGCAAAGTGGAAAAATGTGCGGTGAGTTAAACTTTTGATTTTACTTTGTGTAAAATAACTTTTTGAATGTTGTAATAGTTTCTGGTTTTAGCTTTAACTTATATCTGCTGATTTGTTCTGAGCGACATTACTTATGTAAGTAGTCATATTTCTATATGATAATGCATAATGTATTTCTGTGGAAACTTAGTATTTGTTTACAGACACCTGATCAGAAAGAAGTGTAGGAGATATCTGGAGACATCATTACACAAGGAGACTTTAAATATGAGACTGGATCTATAAGGGGGAAATGGTTAGCTTACATTTGTATGGTTCCTTAGAATTTGCAAGGCTCTCCCTTAAAGTTTATTGTTTCTTGACCATCATGTGAAAATAGCAGAGTCAGTACTTCCTATTTTACGGATAAGGAAATGATAAGGTTCTTAGAAGTTACATGACTTCTTCAAGGTCACAGAGCTAATAATAGCATTTATCTGTTGGTTTGCTTAATTCATCTACTCATTCTCCAAACCTCTATGAAGCACAGGGTATAGGTCATGGTGATGGAAACTTGAATAAGGTGCAGTTTCTGCCTTTAAGAAGCATGTAGCCTTTTGATTATTGAGTCATTCTTTTGAATTCAAAGAAGTGACATGCAATGAAGTATACCAAAGATGCTAAAATGTACCAAAAAACTTTTAAGCTATGTTCAAGAAGCCTTAAGGAGAGAAAAAAAAATCCGTAGGCATCTTGTGTTAGCTCGTTGAGCTCATAACTTGGGGAGGATGGTGCGGTGTTAACAGATGAGGCACAATTACTCCTATTTTATTTCAGTCAATTCTAGTGAGGAGAAAGGAGTTCATTGGAAAGGGTAGAGTAATTATCATAATATGAATAAAGTCCTGAAATAATGAGAGCATTTACCCACTTTAATTGAGGGGAGGTCTCTTGGCCCAGCTCTGCAAGGCCAAGTAAACTTCTAGCTGCCATCAGTTATATTTGGGAAGTGGGGGAAAGTGGGGAGATTCTCTAAGTAAGCTTGACATCAGTGTTCAAATTCCTTTTTTTTTCCTGTTCAATTATGTAATGACGTTTAAAAATCTTGCCAGTTTTCATAGGTGAAAGCAGAAAAACAACTTTACATTGGTTAAATGTGATTTTAAAGTTCTTAGAATTTTCAGGCTTTCTGGATAAATTAAAATTAGCAGCTACCCAGTATAGAGGTACCATAATAAATTTATTTTTAGCACCCTGACAAGCTAAGTTGAAAATATTTTATAATAATTTTTATATTTGTAAATCTATGGGAATTTGCCTGTTCCATAAAATTCCACTTCAGAAGGAAATCTACAGTGCAGTTGTGTTTCTGTGCATGATTTTCCTGACATCTCACCTCAATTTTAGCCTGCTGTGTTTGCTTATCCTGCTGCACTAGATTCCCTTATCATTAGACATAGAGCTTACATGAAAGTTCCCAAAATGAAAGGAGAGAAGAGAGTATGAGAAGTTGAGAATTTTAAATTCTAGACTGCAGATGCCTTTTTTGCGAACTTAAAAGCAAAATCTGATTTGCATTGAAGTTAATGCTCAATTTCAGCCCTGGCAGCTAAGCCAATGGCAAGGTTGGAAGAATTCTGTAAGACATCCAGCCAAATATTTTCTGTCTCTAGGAGTAAGCTGTTATCATCTTTATACATAACATTGATCAAAGTTTTATTTAGGGGGAGAATATATTGTACTACATATTAAGTTTTCTTTACTGCAGGGAATGGGAAGCAATTTCCGTTTATTCTTTTGTTGTCTGTTGATGTGATTGGGAAATTAAAGTTTATAAACAGAAAAATCTTTCGTACACTGTAAAGCATCATTGAAAGAGTAGTTTTTGTTATAAATATTAATAAACAGGCTTATTCCAAGTTTATCAGAAAGTTTACAATTCACTTCATTGTTTTGGGAATTTGGGCACCAAGTCTAATGAATTTATTTTGGCCGAAATGCAGAAGCATGGTATAGTGTTTCTGAAAAGGCTGAGGCTTCTTTTCAATAATTAGTTAATTTGGACTAATATTTTACTACAGATGTTCAAACTTTTAGTGAAAAGTTAGGTATTATTGAAGTATATCAAAGTCAAGTGTTCAGTTTTTTTCACATCTGGTGCTAAATCCATAATTAATACCATGGGTATTAATTACCTGTTTGATAGTACTGAGTTGTGCTTCAGTAATATGATATCAGGCAAAATTCAAAACTCTTGGTTTTGATATGGAACCACATTGTATTCATCTTTCACTCATTTATAGTATAACATTCTTTTATTTGTTTTCTGAATTGGTTCTTCAGATAAATCACATTCTGAATAAAATCTCATACTTACGTAAAGCTTTGGTATTTTTGTTTTCCAAGATAAGGCAAGTTCATCAACTGGAGAATTAGAGGATTGTTCATGTTTTTACACTTGTGGTCTCAACCTAATGATTATTTAACTAGTCTTATTAGAGGTTCTGAATAGATAACGGTCTTTAGCCATGGTGGACATATTATGTATGTAGCTCTGTGTGTAAATCCGCAGTTCATAGAACTCTGACTAATGGTAAGTAGTCTGGATAATGTTTTGTCTAAGGAACAGAGAAAATAACTTTCTCATTCCCCTAGAGCTTTTTTTTTCTCTCAACAGCTTTATTGAAATATAATTCACATACCACACAATTCACCCATTTAAAGTGTATACTTCAGTGCTTTTTTTTTCTTATCGAATCATAATTGATTATGCATATTTTTTGGGTTCAACATTGATGTATGTTGATCAAATCAATATTATTAGTATATATATTATTACAAATCATATTTATTCTTTAGGCCCCTTATTCAATCTCTCCCCACCCCCTTCTCCCTCCCCCTTCCACCTCTCATAACCCTAGATATCTTCTTTCCTTCTGAAAGAGTAACAGTTACTCTGTTGATTTGTTGCCTAGATGATCTGTCCAGTGCTGAGAGAGGTGTGTTCAGGTTCCCCACTATTATCATAGAGTAGATGCTTTTTCTGTTTCTCTGGAATGGACTTTTTGGAGAGAGACATCCTCTTCTTTGGTTGCCACTGGTGACTCTCCTTGTGTCAATGCACTCAAGTGGCTGGTGGGCCGTCTGCACAGTGGCTGTGGTGTCTAGCCACTTTTGCAGCAGCTGTGGCTATTGTGGTAGCTGTGGTGGGCCACCCACATGGAAGTGATGTTTTTGGCGTGCTCCTTTCCTTGTTGTGGGAAGAGGGGTCGGTCCCTGGCTCCATCTGTTTTTATATTCTAAGATGTTGTTGTGGAGCAGTTGGGCGGAGGGGGAGAGAGGATGGGAGAAGGAGAAAGAGGGGGGCATGGTTGAGGCCCGTGGCACCCCACTCATTCCTGCAGGGGAGACCAGGGGGCTTCCAGTGGTGGCTTGGTCATTGCTTGGCTGAATGCAGATGTCGTGGGTGGGTGGCCAAGGCCCTCAGTCCCACACCGTCCAGGTTCAGGAGCCTGGAGTGCTTCCTGCAGCGGCTTGGTGGTCATCACTGGGCTGGTCGTGGGTGTTGGGGGGCATGACTGAGGCCCCCAACCCTGCCCCCTCCCTGTCTTGGGGGCCCAGTTCTGGTCTTTCTAGATTTTATAGGTGTTCTTTGGTGAAGTGAGACCTTTACTAGTTAATATCAAACTTTGGTCTATGGGCATTTTTTTTTTTTCTTTCAGTTCTGTGTTTGATTATTTGCTATTTCTACTACTTAAACTCTGCACTGGAACTAATTTGTTGTCCTTTGCTTACTTCTAAAATGGGGGAACTTCCTGTGAGGACCAGCCCTTGAGCCCTGTGGTTGAGCTAAATTGCTGCTTTGCTGCTGATTCCCTGGGGAAGGCTTTTTGTGCAGCTAAGGTTTTAATGGTTGACTTTTTAGATACTTCCAGGTCTTGTGAGATCTGGTACACCTGGGTTGTGTAGCAACTCTTGTCTGATCCTGAGTCTTTTCAGCAAACTGCTCCCCCTGTAGTTCTGTATTCCTGACCAGTTTCCACTGAGTGGTCCTATGCTGATTGGGGGGCAGATTGGCTGTCCTTGCCCCATTGTTCCTCTGGTGACCCATCTCCTCCACTGCCCACACTCCAAACACTTCCCATGGGATGGGCTGTGTGTTAGACCCTTGTGATGACTCACTGGCCTCTGAGCGGACCCTTTTTACAGTTGTTGTGGCTCCTCGCTCCTATGTGGGTCCATGGGAACCCTGTTAGTGGTGTTGCTGGCCTGAGGGCCACCAAGGCCCTCTTCTCCCCTGCTGCCTTCAAGCAACTTCATCCAAAGGGCACAGCTGTGACTTTTGCCAGCTCTTGCTCTGTGTGCTCACCAGCTCCAGGCTTGAAGTGGCTGGGATTTGAAATGGTGGGAGTGATCTTTTCTTTCTCTCATTGTGGCTTCTCCTGCCTTCATGAATTCCGTAGGTCTGTTTTCCTCTTCCCCTCTTCCCTTGAGCTCTAGTGGCCCCAGCTTGGCTTTTGTTGCTTTTTAATATTTATAAATTGGTTGATTTGTGGGAGAGAATGATGCTGGGGACTGTCTATTCTGCCATCTTGACCGGAAGCCTTTCAGTGGTTTTTATTATATTCGTGGATATGTGCAACCATCACCATAGTCAATTTTAGAACATTTTTATCACCTCAAAAAGAAAACCTTTACCCTTTAGCTATCATCCCCAGCTTTCCTCTATCCCTAAGCAACCACTAATCTACTTTCTGTCTGTATAGACTTGCCTGTTCTCAACATTTCATATAAGTGAAATCATATGTGTCCTTTTTTTTGACTGGCTTCTTTAACTTAGCATGATGTTTTCAAGGTTCGTTCAAGTTGTAGCATGTATTAGTACTTCATTTATTTTTATGGCTGAATTGCATGGATAATACTACACTTTATTTACCTGTTCATCAGTTAATAGGCATTTTAGGTTGTTTCCAGTTTTTGCCTATTATGAATAATGCTGCTGTAAACAGTCATGTACAGGTTACTGTGTAGATGTATGCTTT